TGTCTATAGTGGTACAAATAGTTACGGTTGTAGTCCTATAGTGGTACAAATAGTTACGGTAATTGTAGTCCTATATTAGTTTAGGAAGTCAGTGCAACCAATAATGTATTGGAATAGTTGGAATGTTCCAGCCATCATTATAACCCGTTAGTGACACGGTGAGGTATTGATTGCTGCTTACCACTTAGGGGCCATCTACTTACGACGTCCGCCAAAATCGCAGATTTTCAGACCACCCTCTCCCCCTGACCGGGTTTGTCCGAATTTTCAAAAACCACCCCTCCCCCGCACGTCCGGATTTCCAGCTACTTTTAAGAAAAAAAATAATAGAAGCAACTAAAAATAAATACCTACTTTACCAGTTACAGTTATATTATTATTACCAGTTCCCTATAATTATACCTATAATTATACCTATTAACTACGTACCCAGATATCAACATTAAAGATAAACACAATAAAGTTAAACCCTTATCAATACAATTACAGCTCTTGGCCCAACTGAAAAGTTAGTTATTAACAGTTTAAAATTTCTTCTACACACACAAACAACATGGAGTCCTCAGTCCATAATTCTGACAAGTTATTGACTTGATCTTGAGTAACACACACTTTGTTAGTTCTGGCCGGTCTGGTGATAAGAAAAGTTTGATAAACATGAAGTTGCAGCCCGTGCTGTCCAAAGTTTTCGATTCTTTTGCTTTTTGTAAAACGTTATGTTATTGTTACTTATAGTGGGTCCGTTACTAAAGTTGGCCTACGGACTCTACCAGTCTTTTTAATCCGAACTCGTTCAATTTTGGCTGCCAATGATTTATTTACTATGAGACGCACTATTGCTTTTGCCAAAGCATTATTTTAATTGTATTGCATCTAAGTAAACTATAGGTAAAAATATAATATTAATCATAAGCTAAAATGTACTAATCTTTGTATTCTAAATGGGGAAAAAGAAGAAACATTGTCAGTCAGTCGAGAAAATTGTCAGTCAGGCTATATGGCAGCTTTGTAGATGTTGTGACTATGCTAGTAGTGGTCCCAGGCTTGCGACTGGAATTGCGGTGTTAAATCGATTTAATGGTACCAACGATCCACCTCCCACTTGTTGTTTGGTACTTAGCATTAATAGTGTTAGCTGTAGCCATTTATAGCAAGAATCTTAAAACTAAAGGGGATGACAAGGAAAAGAGGAAGGAAAAAGAATAACGGGACAAACAATTAATTAAAGTATTTATAGGAGCATTAGATATTGTAATTACAAGCTTCAATAATAAATCACTGACTAAAACTTCTAATTAAAATGACACTTGGTACGCTCGCCCATTTTCACTGGTCAGTCTGAACTTCGGTTTAGCACGTTGTACACTTATTCACCTAAGTTTCAGAATTTGTTCAGTTTAGCAGAGTTAGTACCCGTGTTTCAATAAATCAAAAGATATCAGGGGAGTTCTTTAATAATGTTACGGTCATCTAGAATACCGAACTTCCTGAAAACGTTATCATATTTCCTCAGACAACGTTTAATGCCTTTAATCAGTCTATCACGGCTATATCCTCTATCAATTAGAATTTTGAATATTTTGTGAAGATGGGAGGTAAAGATATCCAATCTAGTGCAAACATTACCATATCTAAGAACTTGACTTGAAAAAACGTTGTAGCCAACCTCGGTTGGGATGTTACTGTGAGGAAATGTAAGGGATACAACATGCAAATTAAAATCATCAGTTTTGTTATACACTGATATTTCTAGTCCTTCTGTGGAAATATTAATATTTAAATCAAGGTAGTTAATGATTTTATTATTGGAACCAGCTCGCTCCATCTCCAATGAATTAGGATAAATATCTTTAATCAATTTATGAAAGTAAAGGTAGTTAATAATAGATAAATCGTCAACATATCGTTTATTATTGGATAATATCTTTGCTAATCCCATTTTCTTTTCCTGAAGTAAACGTTTCATATAATTAAATTCCTTTTTGCCAACAGTGAGATCAGCTATAGGGGAACTTGAATTTCCACCCATAGGAATACCCTTGGTTTGTATGAATACAATCCCACCGAAGACGACATAAGTGTTATAAATAATAAATTTAACAGCCTCTTTTAGGTCATCTTGACTAAAGCATGCATGACAATCATAGGTTTTATTGGAAAAGAAACATGTATTACTGTCTCTTTTAGAAATACAAATATATCTATTACGGTCTGAAAATATTAAATCAACAACTTCATTAATCATATTCTCTACTTCAATCAAGTCTAATCTGGTATAAAGAGTAGTAAAATCATATACTTGTATATTATAAACATCGCTATTTTTGATAGCTTCAAGGAATTCACTTGAGGAATCTATGCTCCAAAACATGTTTATACCGCTGTTGTTGTAGATTGCCTCGCAGTATTTCTTGAAGTATTTCCTCAAAAGTTTCAGACAACAGTTAACTTGGACGTTAAGTTGTTTCGTAACGCAAAAACGGGCACCTGCAATGAACCTCGCCTTGTAAGGGTTCTTATGAAGCTTAGGGTTCCAGAAGATGCGTGCTAGTCGCAAGTTTTTATCTTCAACTTGTACATTAAATCTCTCCTTTAGACTCTCAGATATTTTATTGACATAATGAGTCTCGTCTTCGCTACAGGGTTTATATGTATCATTACCTATACATTCTAGAGTATTAGGATCAAAACCCATTTCATTGACAAGAATTTTTACATAAAACTTTTTACAAATAAATGAAAAATTACCAGAAGCTTTGTCGATACTACAAATAATGTATTTACTTTTCAGCATTTTAAGACTTCTTTTAACATCATCTTTTTCCAGTGTGTTTTCTTTTATTTCAAATGTTTCAGGAAAGTTTTTCTTGTAATATTCAATACGATTGGAAACTATTGATAACACTTTTTCCTTCCAATCGCTGAACTTTACTTCTTTTTGACAGTACTTTCTACTTTTTGATTTTATAAATTTATCGACAGCTTCGGTAACTGACATATATATCTCATCTGGAGATTTAAATGTGGGAATTCTGTATTTACAACCGTAGGAAAGTACTTCCCTAAGTTCAACATTATCAACAATATCTAAATTACCAGTAACTACATGTCCATGAGGAGGATAATTGAAAGGGGAGGAGTGACAATCGCATGGACTACCTAAAATAGATTTAATATCAGAAATAGAAAGTTTCTTTAAGAATGAAGCATAGTTACAAATAGAAAGACTTATAGGATCATTATACTCATAATAAATCTGTAATGGTGTAAAAGACTGAATCAAAATGGGAAGCAAATCAATGACTGAAGTGTCAGAGAAAATAGATTTTAGGTTAAGATTATCAATGAATTTGCAATTAAATGGAACAATTATAAATTCTCTATTACTGGATTCAGATTTGTTCTGATGGTATTTGGGGGAAAATGTTGAACAGAAAGAGGAACATACGTTGTAAATCAATCCTGAATTATTTTGACTCAAAGAGTAGAGAGTGTCTAAATCTGATAAGCTATAACATTTTAATGTTTTGTATATGGAATGTTCTGAAGAGATGTTATCTTTCAGCCTGTTAATATCAGACTCTATGGTATCCAGAGACTTCTTAGGCTGAACTTTCTTCTTTCCATTCCCTCTGCCACGTTTGTATCGAGCAATCTGTCCACTAAAATAATTCATAACCCGATCTTGGGAGATGTTGCCCGTTCCTTTCTTCTTGTCATTAAGACCAAGAGGGAATGCTGTCCCAAGCTTCTCTATCCAGTAATCCTCCAGGAGAAGTAAATCATTTTTGACATCTAACGATATCATCAATTATCAATGAAACTGTTTAATAATCTAAAATATTCAAAGATCCTGTTGTGCGTTGATTGTGGCAAATTCTAGATTTTGCAAGGTTTTAATAAGCAACTGAATATCGTTGGATATATAGACCCTTTTTGACACCGGGTATAAATTCACATTGATCAGATACGAAGTTAGTAAACAAACTGAGGAGCAAACGAACTTTTTCTTCGGCGTGTACGGCAACAGTATAAAAAGTGACGTCAGAGCAAGTGTGGAAATGGAATCTGACTCTGACTGTAATCACGGGGCCGGACACCAGGTATTTAGATGCAATCTGTTTTGAAGTTCTCTTCACCTGCATCATATGCATGCAATCCCAACAATGATTCTTTGTTCAGATTAATTTTGTCCCTTACCTGGGGACCTCAGGCTATTATGTTCATAAACATAGAGATTAGGCGGAATGACAGGCTGAGCGCGGCCCAGTAATTTTGTCCCAAGAGTCTGAACTATTTTAATTCTAGCACTACATATAATATATTGTATAGAGAACAACGCCCAACGGGTTCTTAAAGTACGATACCACACATTACACAATATTAAGTATTTCTGGCTGCAACAATTCGATCACATTTACAATGGTATTACTTTCAATGCCTTGCAGTTGCATGTGGAGTATTCGTATTTTCAGTAGCTATCAGTTTTACATGGTACCGTTCCAAACTACCGGGTTTGTTCCAAAGTTAATTTAATGTTTTTTGCGGAATAAAACGTAGTGCTACTTATTACGTAGTTACGTTTCATAAACCATAATAGTTGTATAGCATAAAAGTTTCTGCGAAGTTTTATAAATATTATAAAGGAGCAGACACGTTTTTATTACATTTTTCGGTTATCATGCCATGTTTTGAATTGCAATCGACGTTTTTATGCGAGTGTGCTAAATCACTGTACAATGTACAATGTACAATATACAATGTACAATGCAATGTACACGATCGAACTTTGAGATGTTTCTAATATAAAATCAAGGGCCCTCGACAGTTGAAACCAACTTGAATCCTTTTGTTTGCAGTTTGTGTTCGTTTTACTTAGCTTCTATTAGTATTTAGCCTACGTATATAATATATATAAGAGAAACATGAGCATTCACATTTTAGAAGTAGAACCATAAACCGTGCAGCTCAAGCTAGGCATGGTAAAGCTAGCTTGTGCTTTATATAACCGTAATACTAATAGTAATACTAATAGGAGCTAGTCATTTTATTGTTTATTGTGCTGCCAGTTGATGTTACGCGCGATATAATACATTTTTGTCGATTTTGTTTTCGGCTATTTGAGATGCACTCATGCGACATGCAGTAAATGTTTTCTTTTCAAAATTGTAAGCGAATGTCGCCCCACTCTCAGTTCAGACTTGACTTAACTGTTAACGGGTGATACTCGTAAAATATTTGTTTCAAATATTAGGACCGTCAACGAGTCCAACTCGAACCGTCTGCAATTAACGAGTCCAACTCGGCGCGCGTCCTGGTAGGTTATTAACCTACAAGACTTGACACACGCTGAAAGCAGACCGCGGCTGGAGTGCACGCTTCGAGTACACGAGAGAGGTATATACAACGTGTAGCAAGATCAGACACAAAATGTGAAATGGCGCAAAAGTTATATAAGCTGCTCCGTATGCGCAAATTAGGCGGTGCACGATAAAAATAAACTTGCTCGGATTTTAAAAATTTTTGTACCATCGTTTTCTAGAGACTGTGAGAATTTTCACAGTACCAAATTTATTATACCTTTTTGGAATGATCAGTGAGTTTCGCCTAGGTGCCATATTTGATGGTGCGCGGCTTTTGGAGCAAAATTAGGTGTAAAAGTCGCGTAATTTGACGAAATTCGTTGATTTTTGTCGTATTATTCTGTCATATTTTCGGTTCCTGAACTTGAATCATGCTGAAAATTTGTCAGAACCTTCCAATCATACTTAACTACCGAACCTAATTTAGTTGGGAGAGATTGGCCTTGATTAAGAGGTCTAAAACCCTGCGGTTTCTTTGCGTTCGCGACTATACCCATTTGTGATTCCACTGTGTGGACGCAGGTATGACAAATCATATATTTTCGTAAAGTACGTCCTCTGACTAGGAAATCACAAGTTTAATCAGTTCTGGGGAATGTTCCTGGACAGAGTTATGACAGTTTAAAGCTTCCGCGCCGCGCAATAGCCCCAAAATGGCTAAAAATTTACACCGTCGTAGAATAACTTTGCGAAGGGAATGCGCGAGCACGAGAATATGATATTTAATATTGATTTTCGGCCCCCGCCACGATAGCTTAGTTGGCTAAGAGGGCGATTGACCGTGCTAGCTGAGGGTTCGAATCCCGGTCTGACCTTTAATTTAGTTTGAACTGAAATAAGTTGTTTACTATTTTCATCAAAAAGCTTCTCTAGTGTTAGGTTAATATTGATTAGTTAATCATATTACAAGTTGTACTATAGGATGAAATGCATAATTAGAAATTGGAAAGCAGCTAAACGCAAAGCGTCATTATGCTACAATATTATAGTAATTACATTGTTTGTCTCAGATTATTTTTAATACAAGAAGCGACCAGCATCGCATCTTCATCGATTAGTTCGGAGTCGTCGCTATATTCAGCTATAACATTGATTTTTAATTGATGCTGTAGCAGATATGAGCAGCTTTTATCAGTCTGATTTGGTAGGTTTTGGGCTGGGCACAGTTTGCTAAGGATTCTGTTTCTATCTGTTGTAAAACTTGATGGTCTGCTGTGAAATGAAGCTCTGGATTGGTCTTTTAAATGCCTTTCTCAACGACAATCCCTCCTTAGCAGTTACTTATATTAAAACTTTTTGTTCGGAGTATTGTCTATTGACATGTAGTGTCTGGAGAAGGAGGGCAACGAAGGAGCACTTCTCAGTTGTACAGTGGGCATTTCTAGACGCTGCTATCCATTACCTTCGACATCTGAAACAGATTTTAATATAAGCAACTAATTAATAATACGGGTGAGACTTAAGTTTCAGTAAAATTAAATCTGACACTTGAGTGCAGTAACGAGAGAAATCCAGTGCATCTCAAACTGCTAAACTTGGCTTACTGTTTTAAAATCGTGACCTGGAATTGTTGAAATCTTTGATAATTCCCGCCTCCAAGATCAGAGTTGCTTTTACGTCCTCTTAAGAGGCTATCGAGATTCCACATGCTCTGTTCTCTGTACTTCCGGAGGTTGTATAAACCTGAGAAATCAAACAGTTCAATACCAGAGAGAATGCTGAAGACTCAGAAAGTTGTCCAAAAAATACACAAATCCGAATTTTTCTCTTTAGTAGCGATTTGAGACAAAATTTACCTTCTTTCGGACTGAATTTTTAACTGAATTGAAGTATAAACGATTACCTCTACAATAGTATTAATTACTTAGTAAAGTTATCATCAGAAGTCAAGTTATGGTTGACTTTAAAGCTTGAAAAGGCTAAAATTTTAAAAATCTTTGCTCAATGACGCGCGGCTCAGAAATGCGCGTGTTATGCTCGCGCAATTATTGCTTACAATTTTCTTTCATTCGGCAAAAAAATAACTGTGACCAACATACATGTTATAAAACTCTGCCTTAAATCCTGGAATGTTCTGGAATTATTGAGTGTGCAAGGATCATCAATTTCCCGCCAAATCCAAACTTTTTCCTGTAGCATATTATCACAAATACGGCGTGTACAATTTTTGCGCGTAATAAACCTAGATTCGTTCTGGCGAATAACGAAGCCTCTAGTTCACATCCAATGAGCGGGCTTATGAAGGAAAGATTTCGAGTTGAGAAGACGTCAGATGGCATCTTGGGTTCTTGGAGTATTCAAAGACAGGACAACACCTGTAATGCTCCAGCTCTATAAATCCCTGATAAGGTCCAGAGTGGAGTACTGCTGCCCGCTTTGGAATCCAAACAAGATCTATAATATCCAGTCTATCGAGATCATACAACGCCAGTTCACTAGACGGATTCTAGGGCTCAGAGACACCGATTATTGGAATAGACTGAAGGAACTGAAACTTACATCACTGCAAAGACGCCGAGAACGCTGCACCATGATACATATTCTGTGGAAAGTTCTCCAGGGTATATGTCCAAATGACCTAGATGTACAGTTCAGAGAGAATGCCAGACTGGGAGTTAAAGTTATACTCCCTTCTCTCACAAAAAAAGCATCAGCTGGTGCACGCTCCACAGTCCACCTACGACCACTCATTCGCCGTGAGAGCTGGAAGACTCTGGAATGTTCTCCCCGAAATTGTCAATACTCAAAGGACTTTGACAAGCTTCAAGACATCTCTTGGAAACTTCCTAGACACCCTACCAGACAAGCCCCTACTCCTGGATACAGTGCAGAAAACTCTAACTCGATAACATTACCTTGTTTTAATACTTTCAACACTACTATATAACAAATAATTTGAGATCATGAATACGATGTAGTTACATTGAAACGTCGAGTAATCTCCTTTCCCTAATAAGAGCATTTTTACTTGTCGCAACAACCGGGATAAAGATAATTTTACCCAGAATACATTACCTTGTGTCTCACATCTGGAGTTAACATTGTCATTACCTTGTATCTTAAATCTATATTTAACATTACAATATACTTTACATCTATTATAACCTTATGTTATAAATACCTACATTCACATTATCCTGTACCCTATAATGTACCTTACATCCCTTATTCCGTATATTTGCCATATACCGAAGTCTTAATCACGTTATTTTTCGTAATATATATGGACACTGTTCTAATTATTGGTCTGCAATGTAAAGTAAGTGAAATTATAATAGCTCTTAAACTTAAACTTATAGCTCTTGGTGACTCCCTGCCAGTGGGTTTGTGACAGGGGTGTTGCCATGAGAGGTTCAAATCTGACAATGTTTAACGATTGTTCATGTTGTTAGCTATAATGAGATGGTAAGATGCACAACCACAAGTTAAATCTTGTAGATGTAAGATTGCCCACAATGACGAACCTGGGAACACAACTAAACACTAGGCAGTGCCTTCAAGGAAATGAAGACCTAAATCTTACTTACTTCATTATATTGACATAATAGTAAGATGCTGTTAACGTAGCAGAAAGATTAGATAATAGCTGATTTTACATTTTCCCGAGTATAGCTTTTGACTAGTATCTCTTACAATTACCAACAAGCAGAGGGTACCATTCAGAGGTTACTACAATTATAACGTGCTGGTGCAGTGGCAGCTGGGTAAAGTTGGCATGGAGGTAGCAGAAAGTAACTACTAGAAACATCTACTAGAAAGTAGACGTAGAATTTACGTCTACTTTCCAGACTAAAAAGTGCATGTTAGGATGGAAAAAATAATCAGGGAACTTGATTTGCGAACCTAACCATGGAAATATTACAATAAGTCGGAGTGTTCCAAGGATATTGATGTATACACTATACATACATTGTAATAACTATAGAATGTTCTGTACTCTCTGCACTATATAAGGTCACAAGAATTGTGACGTCAAAATCGCATCTGTTTTCTTTTGTTTCAAATCTAAGTTTCATGAGACTAATCTAATTTAGACCTTCGAAGGTAATGACTTGAACTTGTGTGTTCACTGTGTAAAGAACACACACAAAAAAGTAAGAGTTTAACAAACTATTTGAAGTGTAGACAAACCTCTGGTTTCTCTCCCAAGCCAAGAGTTCGGCCGAGTGTCTCAGTCCACCAAACCATGAGGTAGGAGAATACTGCGATCCACAGGATGGACATGATGAAGGTCACTGGGAAGAACATCTTCCATTTCTGAAACATCAGGTTATTAGCTTGCCAGATAATACCTGGTTTAGATCACAGCTGTGTTGAAAGCATTAAAAGGGTTTACTTTCAACACTTCTATGATAATGTTGATTCCTACATTAGAATTTACTGCTTACAAATTGAGAAGCAGAATATTGAAGATATACTCATTTTGGCAGTACTAAAATCTAAGATTAGTTGACAAGAAAAGTTTTACCGTAGATTCTGCTACGGATTGGAGTTCACTTGCCATAATAGCCAAACAGTACTAAAGAGAGCACAACAAGCTATAATGAGATGGTTAGATACATTTGAGGATTGCTGCACTATATAGGGACAGGACTATATAGTGACAAGCACTTTATAGTGACATGTGAGACGGCTGCAAATTTACAAAATTTTGTACATCCATTCAGACTTATTAAACAATGATCTACATTCTACATAAATGATAGAATAATATCTCTCTGGATCATTATTAACCACCATTTTACAGCACTTCATTATTATCAGTACAAATGAATAATGAAGCTCGTATCATGACATGTGAGTATACAGATAGATAAACCACCTAAATAGCCATATTTTAATAAATAAATAAATAAATTCTAACATTTATTACACGCTTCGACATTAAAATATACCCAACAAAGATGTACATTTAAGTCATTCAAGCGATGATTAAGCTCTGAAATTCAACTCAGTACGTCAGAATAATTGTTAAGGGAGGATACTAGATACGTATCAAATGTAGATACGTGGCTTCATATATGTGGGTAATTGCACGTTTCAAACCAATTTAACCGCTGTTTTCAGCACATATATCGTATCTTTTAAACCACATTTGGTACACGAATTACAATAAATTGAATAAAATATGTGACTAATTGTTAACAAATGGTCGGTTTTGATCAATATTAACCACCAATTATCGACACCTTAGAACTTACAGTAATAATCAATTATGAAGCTGCTATGACTATGGTATAGCAATCAAATAAACCACTAAAACAGCCACTTACGCCATAATAATTGATACCAGGCTACTTTAGGCTCAAAATTGAGTTTGTCAGTTTAAGATGCATTTAAAATGATCTGATAGGAAAACTGGCTCCCTACAAAATGCAAAAACCAAAATGAAAAATTCTGGTCATAGATCATACAAGACTGGTCGGTCGGAGGTCGGTCGGGCGCCGGTCGGCGGTAGGTGAATGCCGGTCGGAGGTTGGTCGGAGGTCGATCGGGCGCCGGTCGAGCGCTGGTTGGAGGTCGGTCGGTCGGAGGTCAGTCGGGCGCCGGTCAGAGGTGTGTTGTCCACCTCGCAGATGTCCATGCAGCCCCTGGCCCTCTTAATCCCTTCCAGCCGCAGTCCTCTCCGACACAGCCCATCATGTTTCCAACTGCCAACAGGACGATGAACACCAGTGCTGGTCAAGCCCTTCCGCTTCATGCTCCAGGTCCAGCTCCAGGTCCAGCTCCACTATCCCGGCCAGCCGCCTTCTCACGAAGCGATGTAGTGCAGAGTTCGATAGACTTGTACAATAAGATACGACTGACAGTAATGGATCCTCCGACCGGCGCTCGACCTACGCCCGACCGGTGCCCGATCGACCTCCGACCAACCTCCGACCGGCGTTCACCTACCGGCGCCCGACCGACCTCCGACCAACCAGCCTTGTCTGATCTATGACCAAAATTCCTTACCGTTTAACTGCTACGCGGCCGCGAAATTTGCGATTTTTCGCAAACCAATTTTTTGGCTTTTTGGCAGCGAAAAATAGCTCTTACTCTATGTCTGTTACACAAATGAGATAATATAGTAAGTTGACTCCTTTCATATCTCCAAACAACTCTCAAATCTTAATTTATTTGAAAAAACCTTAATAGGCTATCTAATTTAGCTGATTTTTGACATGAACCTGAGTTTTTGCCCCATTTTTAGGCAAATTTTTGGCCTTCCAGCCCAAATATAGTTGTGTTGCCGGCATTTGCCGCCCTATTCCATATATAACTCCATTTAAAAGCCTAGAGTATTCCCTACAATATACAAAAAAAATCATCTTGGGCATTTTTTTAAATTGCAGATTTTTTACCAATTTATCGGCTAAAGCTATGTTATTTGGGGCTTGTGCCCACTGTGCAGGTGCAAGCTTAAGTATGATGGGGTATAATAGGCTATTTCAAATGTTAAAATATGATTACATATGCATGTTTAATACACGTTTTCGCACATTAACAGCTGTTTTTAGCACATTAGTGTTATCTTAACCAATTGTTAACCACCAAAAATAAACCATTTATCTGCATATATTGTAAAATTCATGGCATTACCACTAAAGATTAACCACTGATAGAGATCACAAGGTTCACTGTCAAAATTTAAGGCAAGTCTAGACAAGTTAGCCAATGTCCACTAAGTTTCCCCAGATTTGCTGCTATTGCTGTGTTGTTTCCAGTTACCAAAAATAACTAACTTTCGACATAACATACACTGCTATGAACTGTCGTACAGTTGCAATTTTTTTAAAATGCCAAGTACTTACCTACACTAACATAAGTCACATGGGAGAGTGTTTCAAGGCTAAAACCGTCGGTATTCGTTCTGAAAAAAATGTCCATTAGTATTGCAGATCAGCTGGATCAATGAAGCTATCATAGGTTCTCATTGACTCAGTTAAAGCGCTCTGTTCTCAAAAGTTTAATTTATTGACATTTTCCTGATGCAAAATTTTTACAAGAATTGAAGTTTGTAAAGACTATATTGGATTAAATACAGAATTACAGATAGATTATATTTATGTTAAAATACAAATTATCCAATATTCATGATATCATGTGCCAAATTAGGTAAGGTTTAAAAGCAAATTTTTATGAAAGTTATAGTAACAGAGCTTTTCATAGATCAAAGTATAAACGAAACGAATTATAATTATAAGTTATAAGTGATTAGTAAATACCTCATAATTATTAAATAATCTGAAGAGTAAGGGTTATCTGCTGATGCATGTTATCTGCTGATGAATGCCAAGGTTGTCTTTCACCGTGTGAAGTGCCGGTCGTGTGTTCATTCTAATTGAAGATTTATTGGTTTTACAATAAATTAAAAGCACTTAAGTTTTTTTGCCACATTGATCTTTATTAAATGTAGTTAACAAGGGCATGAATGAATTTGAATCCTAAAATAGAGTTGATCCCGTAAATTAAATCAACACCAAACGGTTCTCAACTTTTCATAACCAGCTGCACACATACAGCTGAAGATAATAAAATTACAGAACAGAGCCATTTGTACACGTTAGTAGAATTACAACTTTATTGCAATGAGTAACAGTCTTTCGACAGACTATTACTTAGTTTTACTAATGAAATATAAATTAAAATCCGTTTTATGTATCTGGATTTTAGTCATTGACCATTAATGAGCAAAAAACGATCAAAATAGGGAAGCTGCAAAGAATTTAAATTTGACAGTCCAAACTGACCAAACACATGAAGTTCCTGGCAATAGTTTAAATTTGCACCATCTAAAGTCATTCCAAAGGCCCTGTAGCAATACTTGAAAATTTTCATAAAACCGATATTTAACTAACGTTTTGACTTGTCAAGTCAATAGAAATAATTATTGAAAAACAACAAACGCAGTTAAAATGAATTTAATCAAATTTGTGTTTGACAAAACAGGTTTTAAATTCGTTGCTACTATACAGTTAGCAGCACACTTTTGTAAATTCCAAGCCGAAGTTATGCGGAGAATATTCAAAGATTGCAGATTGTAAAATCAAGCAAAACATGCGCGCATCTGAAAATAAAAAACCAATCTTGGACTAAAATTTAACGAATGATACTTGGAGTTAATATCAAATTATTATTTCACAAAAGTTATGTTCAATATTAATTATAAGAAAAATGAACTGGGTAGAATTTGTGGTATTTAAGAAGTTGTTATAATGACAAAATGCCGTACAAATCGGCGCGTGGCTTTGTGTTTTCAGTTTACAGTTTAGTGATTTGTAACTTAAATATGATTGCAGAAAAACATTTGTTACTTCCTTTTTGATGCAAAACCAGAATTATATATTTATATAATTCTAATGTAATGTAAGAATGATACTCGTGTCATACATTTAAAATCATATTACTACCATATTTATCAACACACAACATTAAATTGAACGCGTATTTGTCAATATGACAAATAACAAAAACTATTATTACTCATCAACACCCCAGCGAACGCCGCGGGCTTCATACGTCGCACAAAATGATTGAATTTCACTTTTAAAATCTCCTCAAGCTTCATGTTAAGTCAAATCACGTATGTTTAGTTTTAAAGTAATCTTGTTCTTTAGATAATTGTCTCAATAATCGAATATCGAAGAGTTCAATTCAATTCAAGGAAAATTGTTCAAACTATGAGTGATCATGAATAAAAAATGGATAATTTACACGTAAAATTTGCCTCAAAATTTGTTTTGAAAAATAACCATAACTCTGGCTATGATTTAAATTTTGAAAATTTAAAATGCTAGTGCCGCGCACAAAAATGTTCCGCGCATTTAAAACGTGTCGATAATGCGCCCAAACCAATGTCGCGTTGGATAATAGTGAATAAGCTGGTTGAATTCACAATTTTCATTTTTTGTTACAGTTTGTTGCTTTGTGTGGCAGCCATATTGGTTTTGTGCGTGCGCAACTATTGCGCGCTATCTACATATCTTACCGTTAAATGTACGTTTACAGATTTAATCGAGATCTTTGCGAGGCTTTCATAATTATGTAATATGTATGATATAGCTTGATATGCTGTTACTTCAAATTGCTGTAATTTCTATTTATATTGACTTAAGTCGAGTACAAAATGAAATTATTTGCTCTCTAATTTTAAGGATGACGACCTGCAACTGAAATTGAGTGATATTCGACTATTTCAATTTAGATTCGCTAGTCAACAAAATGGTTGCTCACTCCGAAATAACGACTTTCAAGTAATGGTATGTACCCTATTTTTTACAACAAGGCTCCCAGTATTATAGTAAAACATAGACAATAGACAATATTTTAATATAAACTATAATTAATTTTTGACCGGGAACATTCAGCAGTTAACTTTGTCGTATTTTAAAACAAGTTACTCGGGCCCCGTTCGTAGAGAAGATAGATTTGCTGTGTTTTAAAACAAGTTACTCGTGCCCAGTTCGCAGAGAAGATAGATTTGCTGTATTTTAAAACAAGTTACTCGGGCCCCGTTCGTAGAGAAGATAGATTTGCTGTATTTTAAAACAAGTTACCCGTGCCCAGTTCGCAGAGAATATAGATTTGCTGTATTTTAAAACAAGTAACTCGTGCCCAGTTCGCAGAGAAGATAGATTTGCGGTATTTTAAAACAAGTTACTCGTGCCCAGTTCGCAGAGAAGATAGATTTGCTGTATTTTAAAACAAGTTACCCGTGCCCAGTTTGCAGAGAAGATAGATTTGCTGTATTTCAAAACAAGTAACTCGGGCCCAGTTCGCAGAGAATATAGATTTGCTGTATTTCAAAACAAGTAACTCGGGCCCAGTTCGCAGAGAAGATAGATTTGCTGTATTTTAAAACAAGTTACCCGTGCCCAGTTCGCAGAGAATATAGATTTGCTGTATTTTAAAACAAGTAACTCGTGCCCAGTTCGCAGAGAAGATAGATTTGCGGTATTTTAAAACAAGTTACTCGTGCCCAGTTCGCAGAGAATATAGATTTGCTGTATTTCAAAACAAGTAACTCGGGCCCAGTTCGCAGAGAATATAGATTTGCTGTATTTCAAAACAAGTAACTCGTGCCCAGTTTGCAGAGAAGATAGATTTGCTGTATTTTAAAACAAGTAACTCGTGCCCAGTTTGCAGAGAAGATAGATTTGCTGTATTTTAAAACAAGTAACTCGTGCCCAGTTTGCAGAGAAGATAGATTTGCTGTATTTTAAAACAAGTAACTCGTGCCCAGTTTGCAGAGAAGATAGATTTGCTGTATTTTAAAACAAGTAACTCGTGCCCAGTTTGCAGAGAAGATAGATTTGCTGTATTTTAAAACAAGTAACTCGTGCCCAGTTTGCAGAGAAGATAGATTTGCTGTATTTTAAAACAAGTAACTCGTGCCCAGTTTGCAGAGAAGATAGATTTGCTGTATTTTAAAACAAGTAACTCGTGCCCAGTTTGCAGAGAAGATAGATTTGCTGTATTTTAAAACAAGTAACTCGTGCCCAGTTTGCAGAGAAGATAGATTTGCTGTATTTTAAAACAAGTAATTCGTGCCCAGTTCGCAGAGAATATAGATTTGCTGTATTTCAAAACAAGTAACTCGGGCCCAGTTCGCAGAGAATATAGATTTGCTGTATTTCAAAACAAGTTACTCGGGCCCAGTTCGCAGAGAAGATAGATTTGCTGTATTTTAAAACAAGTTACCCGTGCCCAGTTCGCAGAGAAGATAGATTTGCTGTATTTCAAAACAAGTTACCCGTGCCCAGTTCGCAGAGAAGATAGATATGCTGTATTTTAAAACAAGTGACTCGTGCCCAGTTCGCAGAGAAGATAGATTTGCTGTATTTTAAAACAAGTAACTCGTGCCCAGTTCGCAGAGAATATAGATTTGCTGTATTTCAAAACAAGTAACTCGGGCCCAGTTCGCAGAGAAGATAGATTTGCTGTATTTTAAAACAAGTTACTCGTGCCCAGTTCGCAGAGAAGATAGATTTGCTGTATTTTAAAACAAGTTACCCGTGCCCAGTTTGCAGAGAAGATAGATTTGCTGTATTTCAAAACAAGTAACTCGGGCCCAGTTCGCAGAGAAGATAGATTTGCTGTATTTTAAAACAAGTTACTCGTGCCCAGTTCGCAGAGAAGATAGATTTGCTGTATTTTAAAACAAGTTACTCGTGCCCAGTTCGCAGAGAAGATAGATTTGCTGTATTTTAAAACAAGTTACCCGTGCCCAGTTCGCAGAGAAGATAGATATGCTGTATTTTAAAACAAGTGACTCGTGCCCAGTTTGCAGAGAAGATAGATTTGCTGTATTTTAAAACAAGTTACTCGTGCCCAGTTCGCAGAGAAGATAGATTTGCTGTATTTTAAAACAAGTTACTCGTGCCCAGTTCGCAGAGAAGATAGATTTGCTGTATTTTAAAACAAGTTACTCGTGCCCAGTTCGCAGAGAAGATAGATTTGCTGTATTTTAAAACAAGTTACCCGTGCCCAGTTCGCAGAGAAGATAGATATGCTGTATTTTAAAACAAGTGACTCGTGCCCAGTTTGCAGAGAATATAGATTTGCGGTATTTTAAAACAAGTAACTCGTGCCCACTCCGAGAAGATAGATTTGCTGTATTTTAAAACAAGTTACTCGTGCCCACTCCGAGAAGATAGATTTGCTGTATTTTAAAACAAGTTACCCGTGCCCAGTTCGCAGAGAAGATAGATTTGCTGTATTTTAAAACAAGTTACTCGTGCCCAGTTCGCAGAGAAGATAGATTTGCTGTATTTTAAAACAAGTTACTCGTGCCCAGTTCGCAGAGAAGATAGATTTGCTGTATTTTAAAACAAGTTACTCGTGCCCAGTTCGCAGAGAAGATAGATTTGCTGTATTTTAAAACAAGTTACCCGTGCCCAGTTCGCAGAGAAGATAGATATGCTGTATTTTAAAACAAGTGACTCGTGCCCAGTTTGCAGAGAAGATAGATTTGCTGTATTTTAAAACAAGTTACTCGTGCCCACTCCGAGAAGATAGATTTGCTGTATTTTAAAACAAGTTACTCGTGCCCAGTTCGTAGAGAAAATAGATTTACTGTAGTTGTCAGTTTACGGACAAATAAAGTCGAAAAGCATTAATCAAAATATGTTTTTGGCTGTCCCAAAATTTCGGATTCTTTTTCTGGAGTTTGGAATTGGCGGGAATTTTAAAACTCTCGTTGTGGTACCAAACCAATATTTTCAGCGCAGAGTTTTAGCGCGCGCCGAGATCACACGCGTATTTTTGCATTGAAGTCGCGCGTTATTTGCACGTGCACTTCTACAGATTAAAATTAGGAGAGGGCCCTTACTGCTTACATTACTAAGTTGTTATGTAGTAATATTGTGAATTTGTCCGAAACTGGAAACAAATCTTGTAAAATTTTACGAATAGAAGTTATAGTATTACTTGACTGTAAAAATTTACTGAGTTTCACTTCCATATTTCAGGATCCGACTGCTGATATTAAAATTGAAGAGTTAGATTTCATTGGAACATGGAATTACTGTAATGGAAAATAAAACAGGTCTTGCTGAGGATGAAGAAATGTTATGTGGGGAGAAAATGGGCTACTGGAAGTGGACCTTCTTAAACAAAGACGACTTTCACAAAATGTTTAAAAGATCACGGTCGCGGCATCGAACCCTGGACGCTTCCCCTGCCACGGTCAGACACTCGAGATTAGTACTAGTAGTGTGCGCTACTCGAGCTGTTGATATATGAGTTCTTCGGTGTTATTTATATAATTGTAATATGTAATGACTGACAGTGCGAGATATCTTTTTTTGTTTCTATTTGATGTGTTTAGTGTTTGTGTTGCATTCTAATATAAACCGCGTATTAGTTTCGTGTCAATTTTAAATTTGATAAGTTTATCTTTAAACTGTATTTATTAGCAGTAATAGTTACATTTTGGTATTATACCTATATTTATTATTGTAATACTGTTGTATAATGCTGTTTCTTTCTCATTGTAGCTTACATATAGGATAGCATACTTTGCTCTGATCTTTAATCACAGTTGACAATACTTGATTAGGGTTAATGATTGTACGCGTTTGAAATCTTGATTTGATATCATTATAACCTTTACTAATGTTCAGATGAATGAATTTGATGTTTTATTTTTCCACGGCACTATTGAAAATCCTTTAAGGGATAGAATCGGCACTGTCAAATATCTTTAAAAGGTTCGTAAACGGAATTACAGTCGATCTCCTGACAAATTTATGTCGAAAATTTGTTTTAACACGCGCAGCAATATGAAGCCCGCGGCTTTCGCCGGGGTGTCAATTTAAAACATAAATTGGCTCATTATACAAAAAAATCTTACAACACAATATATTATTAAATTGTGAGTGTTGACACATAATTGATCGCTATGCTATTCATATTTCGCGCGGCGCAAGTGACCGTCCGTTAAACACACTCGATGCTTATAATGTATGCGTCTAATGCATCATTAATGGAAGGCGCGCCGGTGAAATTTTTGCGCGCGAATTTACGATTTAAACGAAAAGAAACTGCAGGGAAATGACAAAATAGGTATAAATTCGTTGATAACTCAAATTCTGAGCATCAAAATTGCTCAAACTAAATTAGGTTCAGTAGAACTTAAGTGTTTACGTAAGCTGACCAAATTTCAACAAAATTGTTATATGGGAAGTATTATAACTTTTCGATTGTTTCCAAAATAATGTGCTGGCCGAAATAAGAGCTTAAAAACCATTCAATGGTCAGAGCGCGCGTCTTATTGTCAATGGCGCACTGCCTACGCAAATGTTACAATTTTGCAAAAACATCTTATAAATTACATGTTGATTTGTGATTGACAATGTCAACCCATCGAAATCGTTGCTCTGCAAGGGCAAGGCAAAGCAACGATCGACGATGCGAAGCTAAGCAAGAATGCTAGTTTGCGCGGCGCGTCGAAGCGGCGAAGTCCTTTAACATTCAAATTACATGCTGATGCAGTCTGATGAGATTTTTGCGTTACTGGGCCAATTGTAGGTTTACAACCTACCAAGACGCGCGCCGAGTTGGACTCGTCCGCGCGACGGTCCTAATATATGGAACAGATATTTCACGAGTATTACCCGTTAATATTGGGCCGCGATCAGCCTGTCATTCCGCCTAAACATGATAGCCTGAGGTCCCCAGGTAAATTTTTGCAACATTTGCTTACAATCCTGAAAAATAAACCGGGCCGGGGCGAAATGTTTACAATTTTGCTAAAACACCAGCATGCACATGCCTCGGCTCCTCGCTGTAGCGGCTGCACTAGCTACATGCAAAGTAAAGTGTTACTACGCGCGGAGGGGGCATCGTGTATGGTGAACCATGCGATGCGAATTGCGAAGCCAAACTGCAGTTGATAGAATCGGACCGCGCTACTGGCTAACAACATGCGAGCCCGCACGCCCAAAACACAAATGACAAACGTAACTTAATCATTAATATAATAATACAAAGTGTACAGTTTTACTATTAGTACAGTTTTACTATATATATATAGTAAATATATAATAACCTCTAGTTTCGCGCGCGCACTCATTTATTTTTGAACAGCTTTAATAGCTTATTGTGTTAAAATCATGTAACTACATATGAACTAAATGAAAGTTGAGACCGAGCTAACAGGTAAAACCGAGCTAATAGTAGTTAACAGTACGTACGTGCGCGGCTTTACCTGTAGTCTACAAGTGAAACCGCGCACTGGTAATGACTATTAACTCAGTTTCACTTATTATATTATATTACATATTAGTAGAGGCTCTTACGGGCAAAAAGACGTGTTTTCTGCTACGAGTTTAGAGACCTAACCGCTAATTGGACACAATAGTATGATGTCTAAGGATCGATAATATGTTAAGAAGTATAAATTTGGCCTTATTAGTCACGTGCTATACCAATGCGCGTTTTAAACTTTGACAGTCTATTACTCTAAGGCAAATAAAGTAATTATATCCATATTTTGTCAGCAATAAGATCACATTATTTTCTATTTAGTGTGAAAATATGAGCTAGAACGGACATAATCTCGCTGAGTTATAGCTGTTTGAAATTTATGATGAACGCGCGGGTGCCAATTGATAACAACTAAATGCTTTTGCGCGTAGTGCGCGTCGAAAATTTGGCAAAAACGCTTGCGGAGTGACAATATTCAAACTTCGATTAAGTATATGAAGTGGGTACTTCTCGGAAAGGAAAAATTTAGGCAAACACGATGTGACTATTTTTGGGTTGATTTAATACAACTGCAAAAAATTATTCAAACTTAAAGCAAAAAAGTCAAAATTTTTACCACTTTTTTGGATTTTTACCTCAGAACAAATAGAGGGATTTGTTTTATTTTTATACAATCTTGTGCGGCTGTCTTTTAGCTATCTTTATGCAAGTTTTGCCGACATGCCAACAAAATTAACTTGCTCAAAATATCAAAAAACATGGTTTTTTGGCCTATTTTTGGCCCAAAAATCGGTTTTTTTGCGATTTTACCCCAGAACAATCAGTCCAATCATCTTGAAACCACTTTCAATCGATTCTACGGTCAAAAATACGTCTAGTAAGGTGTATCTGGGGTCCCTAACGTATCGAGCAGACAATGCCCGTAAGAGCCTCTACTATATTAGCTCGATCGTTCATTTAACCATGTGCGTTCGCACCACTGCGGGCGCGCTTGTTTACCGCCGGGAGGCGGGCGCCGCGCGTCCCACTACAAGTGCAAGGGCTCTGGACAGATCAAGCAAGCTCGGTCATACCTGGGGACCTCAGGCTATCATGTTCATAAACATAAAGAATAGAGATTAGCTGTGGAATGACAGGCTGAGCGCGGCCCAGTAAGCTTGGTTTCACCTATATTAGCTAATGCATCTTCAGCTTCATGACAGTTGACAGTTAAATTAGTGCAGTGCAGTTAAACATGAAAGTAGTATAAAAAGTTTGCTTCTCAATTTCATGCTGCTCACCTTAAATTAAAATTAAATAAACTAAATTAATGCTGAGCAGGGTATAAATAGCGAGCCAAACTTAATTTTCCAGCTCCTAAAATTTTTTAATTATTCAAACAAGCAGGGTTTATATTTTACCTGGCACGTCACTCCCTTTCATGCGCCGTGGAGCGCTCTTCCCACTTTTTGCATGTGCACATGCATATCGATCGTGATGAGAGAAGCGAGCCATAAACTAACAACTGGCAAGCTAGTTAATGCATATTCTTTCTTTGTTAATTATAGTTTATTTATTTATAAATTTTATTTTATTTATAGATTTAATTTGTTGTACGCAGTGTGTAATGCAACTTAATGCGTGCAAAAAACAATTACTTATAAAATCTTTTAAAATTAAAAATGTATTTGATAAAATTGAAAGTGACATCAATATTTTGTGAATCCAAGTCCAAAGTTGTATTGCAAGTGGTCAAGCACAAAGAATTTAGCTAAATATTGATTTAAAAAACAGGGTAAAGGGACTCTCTATCTTTTGTACAGTGAAGCTTAACTTGGTAAATATTTCGAAACATTTTAGAAGTCAGTGGTGCTATAAATCTTTAGCTCAATGGACAGTAAATTTTCATTTTTGAAAAAATCCATTCAAAGAAGAATACAGAATATTTGATGATATTCAATAGTATTAACAATAGTTAATAGTATTATGTTTACAGTATGCACTGAAGGGGTATCCTAGGAAGTTTCTTGAACTTTTAACAGGTACCCCTCCTCATTTAACCCAAAATTAAGTTTCCTATCATTCGGCTGAGTCAACCAAGGAGAAGATGTGCCATTGATTCCTGATGTTAGCTAAGGACATCATTAGGATTATGCGACCATGAATTGAGTGATTATTGAATGATGAGAGCCGGGCAGGGGGGTGGGAGGGGGGACAGTGGCGTAACAAAGGGCATGCGCAGTTTTGCTAGTACTACCTCAGTTTTTCAAAATTATCCCTCATTCAAATGGCAACTTGGCACCCCCTAAGATGGTGCCACCTCTGCTGACAGCAGGGTCAGCAGGGCCCTTTGTTATGCCACTAAACATGGACATTGGACAAGCACTTTGCATTGAGGTTGTAAGGTTATTTCATTGGAATATTTACTGGGTAAATTTTCTAAGTTGTTGGTTGTTGTAAACAACCATCGTACGTTCAAAATTCGCCATCAAACTGTAAAAAATATAATCACAGCTGAATATAATTTAGGTTGAGACTGAAAAGTCTCATATGTCTGTAGCCAGAATTGTACTGAGAACAGGCTACAAAGACATCCAATACCAGCCTCTCCCCAAGGAAATCGAGGACGCTGACGACGTTGAATCGCCAGTTTCAGTTGGAGGTTGTAATTTGGACATTGCCACTACGCCTACTTCCAGCGGCCATGAGCAGCAGCGGCTGTTAACTGACGATGGAGAAGCAAACATTCCCTTACAGACAGATGATCCTGAATTTAATGAACTCATTGTCGAGGTTTGTGTCCTATACATCTTGAAAATTAGGGCATGTTCACATATTAATACTAAATCACTGAGGTGCAGTGGAGGGAGGAGGTTTCTAAATGATTACTCTACTGTCATTTTAACACAATAGCTATGTGTAAAACTGATAACGGAATTAGGAGCGGGTTAAACATTGTCCAAAAATGTATTATGGAACAATGAAACAAGAAATTTCAATGAAACAAGAAATTTAATTTTAGCACATTTTACAGAATAAAAGATGTAAAACAATTCATAAAATATAATGCCCATTTGGTGTATGACTTTTTGTCCTTGACTGCTTGTTTGGTTTTGGAAGGACAGGTTACTAACGGGGCAAGGAATGCGCGTGCCTGGGAGCTTTTGCACACACCAAAACGCTAGTTCAGTTAAGTTTTTAGAGACAAGGCTCAAATTAGGACTATAAGAAAAATTGTTAGCAGACATTGCATTAGGGGTTCTGTTTAAAGTTTTTACTATCTAGGTTGCAGTCTTGTTGTGACAAAAAGTCTACACTAAAACATGTTTGATTTTATATTGTGCAGTTCAAGGATTAAAAATGCACCTTCAAGGTGGATATTGGAGAGCAGGCGAAAGATTATGGCTTAAATTTATCAATGGTTATAATAAGCTATAAATATTTTAAACTATACAATGCTAATTAAAAATTTCTTTATACTTCATTCTCAAATTAAAATTCAAAAATTCAAAAATAACATGTGGACAAACCCTTATAATGTATTATTGTATTATTTCACAAACGTCATGTTGATTTTCAATGTTTTTAAAATCATTATTTTGTGTCCTCAAGATTTACTACATAGGCTGTGAGTTCTAAATCTAATCCAATTTTTATCTAACGATATTAATATTCCTGCAGTCAGAAAGAGCTATAGATGAAGGAATTCTACCAGACAGAATATACCAAGGAAGCAGTGGCAGTTATTTTGTAAAGGACCGAGATCGCAAAACTGTTGGTGTTTTTAAGCCAAAAAATGAGGAACCTTACGGACATTTAAACCCTAAGTGGACAAAATGGATGCACAAGGTATAGAAATATTCATGGGACATTTCAACGGGTTGATTATTTAATGCTTTCTTCCCAAATCATAACAACATTTGCCTTAGAAACTAAGTATGAAGCTGGTTCAGACTTTTTGACAGATCAATTGGGGTATTTAACTTTCAGTTGTAATTGTGATCAGGAAACTTTGTGCACTTTTAAACATATCTTCAAATTTCAGATGTGTTGCCCATGTTGTTTTGGCAGATCTTGTCTTATTCCCAATCAAGGGTACATGTCAGAGGCTGGTGCCAGTTTGGTTGACTCCAAGTTCGGACTTGGTGTCGTTCCTAAAACAAAGGTTTGTTGTTATCATGAGTGTATGTATACACTCATTGTAATTAACACTTGTTGTAATTAACACTTGTTGTAATTAACGCTTGTTATAATTCCCGTTCAACAGTACACTTTGTACACGTATTGATATCATGATTACGCATGTAAAAGGGAGGGTATATCCGTATTTCGCTGCTAGTGATGCAGTCCTTAGCCCGGTAGCTAAGGCTTCCCCGTTTCTCGCTCATTTGTGCTCCGATGGGCTTGTGACCTCTGCGGGGGTCAAGTGCAGGATGAGGGACATGGCTGACCAGGAGAAGGTTGTTTTTGGGAGATAGAGTAGGGTTGGTTTGGTGTTGTGCCTTCGCAGTTTAACTGTATCTTTACTCTAGAATGTAGATGTAGAAAATATTTGTTTCCTAAGTTAATTTGGATAAATATTTATGATGAGTATTTTTGTGAATCATATAAAATGCTCCACTCGATTTGCTCCACTCGATTTGCAATAATACACTACTGCATATACTCTTAGGTAATAATGAGACAGTATCTATATCAGTAGAGGTGTCCAGGAATATCTCAGAACTTGTGGCATGTGCTGAGAGGAGGCTACAAGGCTGAGGAGTACCCAGACAACTGTAGGTAATTTGAAGGGATCTACATTCCTAAGGCGGATGGAGATTTTGGACCCAGCACAGGACGGCCTATATCGCTAGGAAACATTCAGGGGAAGATATACCTCGCTGTGTTGGCGAAAAGATTAACCAACTTTGTTGTCGCTAACGGGTATGTGGATCTCTCTGTGCAGAAGGGTGGAGTTCCTGGTGTACACGGATGTACAGAGCACTTTGGAGCTATGTGGGAGGTGCTCAAAGATGCTAGAGTTAAGAGAAAGGATCTCAGTGTTGTCTGGTTAGACTTGGCGAATGCTTACGGGGCTGTTCCACATTTACTTATTGTGAAAGCACTCCGCTTCTATCATATCCCCGAGAAAGTTATCAACATCGTAATCAAATACTTCTCGGAAGTGTACGGAAGATTCTCCTCTAAAACAGTGACATCAGAGTGGCAGCAGTTCGAGATAGGAATATTTATGGGCTGTGTCATCTCGGTGATCTTGTTTGTGCTATGCATGAACCTTTCTGACGAGTACTTGAAGATAAAGGTACCCAGGAGTGTCGAGTACATTAAGGATGGAACAGCTATACCACCCCTTAAGCTGTTTATGGATGATAGCTGCCTTACCACGGCTAAAATGGTAGATATGCAAACCCTGCTTGATGTTTATCAGGAGTTCGTTGTGTGGTCAAGGTTCAAGCTTAAGTCGTCTAAGTCTAGGGCACTAGTCTACCAGAAGGGAGTGACAGTGGAGTGGGTTGTAGAGAGTTCAGAAGGTAGTCAGGCGAGGTTGCAGCTTAGCGGGGAGGTGATCCCGAATGTATCTGAGAAACCAATCAAGTTTCTAGGGAGGTGGATTCGGGCAGAAGGAAAGGACAAAGCTATAATCGAGAAAACACACGAGGATCTTGTTACATACCTCAGTAGACTCGATCTTAGCTCCCTCACCGGCCTGCAGAAATGTTGGGGGTATCAGTATATGGTCCTTCCAAAGATGAAGTGGCCACTTGCCATTTATGATATCCCGATCAGCACTGTTTCTCGCTGGGAGCAAACAACTAACAGTCATCTCAGAAAATGGCTAGGAGTGGGACACACGCTTAGTAGCTCTTGCCTGTTTAGTCATTCATCCAGTGTTGCTCTCCCCATCGACAGCCTAACCGACACTTGGAAAGTAGAAAAGTGCCGTCTCTTGCAGTCATATCAAACATCTCAGGATGCTTTGATCAGAGCGGTGCAACCCCAGGTGCGGTCTGGGAGAGTTTGGAAGGCAGATGCTCAGCTTCACGAAGCTGAAAGAGACTTGGTGTGTGAGTCAGTGCGAGGTATGGTGCAACCTCTTAGTAGAGCGGGAATTGGTTTCGGTGATTGGAAGAAGCCCTGGGAGAAGATGTCAGAAAAGGAGCAGCAGAGGGAGGTGTTGGATAGGGTTAAGGAGAACATCAGGAAGGAAAGAGAGGTGCAGTTGGGTACGTTGGAGATGCAGTCCAGGTGGGGTAATTGGAGAGAGCTGGTGACAAGGACTGACATGAGCTGGCACACGCTCTTCAAGTATGGGGACTCATTAATCGGTTTTCTGCTTAGTGCTGTGTATGGCACGCTTGTTACACCAGCTTTAGCATCCAAGTGGAGCGAGGATGAGGATGGGATGTGCAAGCTGTGTGGTGACAAGTTGGGAACTGTGCCGCATATTCTGGCTGGTTGTCCTGTGGCACTAAGTCAAGGGAGATACCGATGGCGCCACGATAAGGTGCTTAAACAAATAGCAGACCAAGTGAAATTCCATTGTGAGCGGAGAGTCAACAAGAGGAAGAGCTCTTGTGTCACTCGGAAAGCCATTGAGTTTGTTCCAGCAGGAGGGAGGTTTAAGGAGGTGAAGAGGTCGAAAGTCAGTGAGTTTGGGATTCTGAGTGGGGCCACTGATTGGATAGTATTAGCTGACCTGGATAAGCAGCTGAAATTCCCGTCGGATATAGCAACGACCAGATTAAGACCAGATTTGGTTCTTTTCTCGAAAGCTTCCAAGAGAGTAATCTGGTGGGAGCTTACAGTACCGTCGGAAGAGAGAATAGCTGCATCCCATGAGCTGAAGCTTGATCGGTATAACAGTCTACAAGCGGAAATACAAGCTAATGGGTGGTCATGTTTCAGCTTTGCTGTTGAGGTTGGTGCTAGAGGTGTGGTCGCAGCAAGTTTGGAGTGTGCATCAAGGAAGATTGGTCTGACTGGGAGAGCCCTCAAGAAGTTGGTCAGAGATTGTGGGAAGGATGCAGCCCATTGTTCAAGATGGATTTATCTGCTGTCTAGGAAAAGAGAGTGGGAGATGAGAGCTGTTTGAGCTTTATGACTTCACCTAACAGCCAGAGGTGCCATAAGCTAACTCGTCGTAAATCGCGAGCTCTAGCAGGTATCCTCGGGTGATTGTCAGATCAGATGGTGGTCCAAGAGAGACCGCTGGGGCACCTGACAGAAAACCGTATCGCAATGAAAGCCCCGAAACGGTGTCAGGTTTGTGACTGAAGATTCTGATCAAGCTCAGGGTTGAGTCTACACAGTGTCGCCACTTGCCGATGCCAGTTGATGCGAGAAGACACTGATGTAAGTGGGAAGTTATGTCTAAGAAACAGCGTGTGGTTCGGGTGCCGGTTGAACGCATGTAAAAGGGAGGGTATATCCGTATTTCGCTGCTAGTGATGCAGTCCTTAGCCCGGTAGCTAAGGCTTCCCCGTTTCTCGCTCATTTGTGCTCCGATGGGCTTGTGACCTCTGCGGGGGTCAAGTGCAGGATGAGGGACATGGCTGACCAGGAGAAGGTTGTTTTTGGGAGATAGAGTAGGGTTGGTTTGGTGTTGTGCCTTCGCAGTTTAACTGTATCTTTACTCTAGAATGTAGATGTAGAAAATATTTGTTTCCTAAGTTAATTTGGATAAATATTTATGATGAGTATTTTTGTGAATCATATAAAATGCTCCACTCGATTTGCTCCACTCGATTTGCAATAATACACTACTGCATATACTCTTAGGTAATAATGAGACAGTATCTATATCAGTACATCAATGATCATTTAAATTGGTCGTTAGTCAATGTATTATAGAATGTTATGATATTTTCTCTATTTCCATTGTTTAGTATTTATCGATGCTTTTAAATTGTATACAGTAAATTAAATTGCTATGCTTTTATTTCTGTTTAGATATTGACTACTTAGTGTATGATTTGTTTTGCGATCAATCATTAAAAAACTGGATTACTTTATGCATTATACAATTCCTTATTCTGGATTAAGATTAATATCAACAAATAAACGTAAACTGTTTGCACTTGATGTGGTAATATATTGTATACATCAATCATGTAAATCATAATATGTGGTCATCTGCGCACTTTATAACAAGCAAATGATTACTTAAGCGGTAAGCCAGAATGATGACTCATACCAATGATATTGCATTAAATTAAAGTAGATAGAGCAATATATAACTCTAGTATTGTTCAGGTAGTTGCACTGGCAAGCGAGACCTTCAACTACACTCCTATTGACAAAGCTAAAGCTAAGTCTGTGAAGTTTGCTACAGAACGGTTCCCTGATACGCTTGGTAAAAACATGAAAGCTGGCCTCCCGCCTAAGGTAAGATAATCCGGGTGCTTATTTTTCTGTTTCATTTCCAGTTTCGTGTTGTAAATTCAGCTGTATCCTGTTTAGGCAACATTCCATTAACAGGTTTTTATCAATTTCCATAAAGTATGAAGCGGTAGAATATTTAGAACCACTTGCACTCCAGTGCCGGTTCTTATCATTCTGAAATACAATACACAGATAACGTAATATTGCACGCTGAAAGCATTAAGCAGAATATGACCCCTTATCTGCATATCTTAGAGAATTGCTGCCAAAAATAGCTGCTATACATTCACTTTTTAAATGATATTCTATAGAATATATCTTTCTCTGTACTGTAGGATCTTGCTTACTTATCAAAGAATTAAAAATCTGAACTTTTTTTTCTGAGATGCAACAGGAAATAATGTCAAAAACTGTGAGGGTTATTTGAGATCCGAGCAGTTGCTCACAACTAACATAATTCAAACTCCATGATTATTCAGATGTATAATTCCCTCCTAGATAACATCTCCCTTTCTATAATCTATATACATTGCACTTCTGCAACTATAACATTACTCATTACATGTCAGAGTTGCAAGACTGCAGTACAACCTTACCCTGCACACAAAGTATACATTATTTGC